TGTGGTATCTTTACCATGCACAAGTCAAGATTGTTCTTGGAACGGGGAATAAAAGAGACAAAAATCCTTGGATGTTATCTGATGCTAACTATGCTTCAAAAACTAAAAATGCTGGTTTGCCAGGGATTGACTATGACCCAAGACCAGTGAAATACCGTCTAGTAACACCTGATCATATCAACCACTTTGCTACAAACTTGCAGATAATATTGCAAAACACAAATGGAGCTATACCAATGTGGGAAACTCAACTGCAGACTATCTACAAACACTACAACCTGACATGTGACCAGAGCAGATTGTTTTTGCAGCAAGTAACTATCTTGCTCACAAACCTTAAACTGGAGACTCTCAGGGAAATGCAAGGTACCAGCAGCAGAGTTTGTCACAGGAGTGGTTTTGTGAAAGGTAATTAAAAATAACTGCTTCCAAGTGCCTTCCTGCTTTCAAAGTTGGAAAGCTTGTCATGGACTCTGCCAAATGCAGCTGTGGAAGCATTTAAATTTATTTCAGAGCATTTGAGCTACCCTCTGAAAAATATCAGTTGTGCGACACTCCAATAAGATCCTTACACCACAAGCTGTGCAACCACCCAGAGTTATTAGCAGAATACAACATCATCATTCAGGACCAGTTAAAAAAGAAGAAAGGAACAAAAAGGGGGAAAAAAGAAAAGTTGGCTCATCATGCAGCTTTTAAAAGGATTGGGGAAACTAAGTAAGTAAAATTACATATGAAGGATTAGTGAAATCTGGTAAACATGAGCATTCACTGAAAGATTGTCTAAAAACTGGCTGGCCAAAATTATGTCCTACACCTTTTCAACATCAGGGCAAACTTTAGAAACAACAGTTGGTCTTACAGCTGATATTGAAAAGGCCTTCTTCACGGTGGGAATTCAAGCTGATCATCTGCTACCTTCAATTCTTTTTTTTTGAAAACCCAAATTGCGAGAGGCCACAGAGTGCCCAGGTTCACGTAAGTTGTATTTTGGGTTACGCTCCTCACCTCCAATTTTGGGAGGCACAATTTTACATCACTTGATTGGGTAGTTAGATGAAGAAAGAGCCCTTGCAGTTTACAAGAGATGCAAGGAAATGAATGACAGAAGAGTCTCAGACTCATTAATAATTCATAAAGTTTGGACAACGACATCATGACCATGACAGTATTTGGCTATCTGATCTTCATTAGCATAGATTTTTACCCTATTAATTCTCCATTTTCTCCTTAATTTAGTTCTGATTAAAAAGATATATCATACACTCAGACAGTGTTTGACCACATTTCCAAACACCTCAAAGTTCATCAAAAATTCTCTACTACATATTTTCAACTCTATTCTCTGTGATTGGAAATGTGGTCAAACAAACTCTTTCTTGTTTGATATAATTATTACTTCGATCATTAGTCATAAAAGTCATTAGGTTCTGCATTGTCTCCATAACAAACACCTTGTATTGGTTTGGGAATTTGCCACTGGAAACTTCAGAAATTTTCAATTTTCATTCTTCAAGATCCTCAAACTGAAGTCAGGTTATACCCATAACTATATTCCTTGACAATAGTCAAGGTGGGGAAGCTGATCAAATCCCTACCAAACCTAACAGCTGTAGCTTTCCATCTAGGCAGCCTCTTCCAAGTTCAGCTTTCAATCACTGCATTAAGGAGGTGCAACTATGGCAGCAAACATTCAGCCAGCGACAGGATGTTTCAACGGCATGGTCACTGGAAGTCAGTGCAAGCCAAAGACAGTTATGACGATGACGACCTGGCTCAAAGGCTTGTAGCCTCTCAATTTCTTGACCTATGAGGGGCCATCAATCACACCTTTTCTAATTTGGTGCTAATTTTGTGTCATTTTAAGTTGTGGAAACAAAATATTTTTACAAGTGAATATATGAAAGATCATATTTTTGAACTGCAGGGAAAGATATCAAGACATGTTTCATCATCGCAGTTATAAACACAACTAAAGCAGTTGTGAAATTGAAGCCTGAAAACATTTCAGGCTTAAAGAGGATTTGAGCCCAGGATCTCTGTCATGTCAGTGCAGAGCTCTACCAACTGAAATATCAAGCCAACTGGGAGCTGACCATGTTGTAAGCTTGTAATATACCCGTAGATGGTAAAGAATGCAAGTGAATATATGAAAGATCATATATTTGAACTTCCGAGAAAGATATGAAGACATGATTGATCATCACAGTTATATACACAACTTAGGCAGTTGTGAAATTAAAACCTTCACTTGTATTCTTTACTGGGTTTATCCAGTCGCATTAGTCAGACAATTTGATACGATACTGTCCAAACCTCAACCATTTGCTAACTTAGTAAGCATTTGAGTCTCCGACAATCTTCCTTTCATGTACATTGAAGTTGATTTTGCTGGACCATTTTATGTGAAGGAAAACATCAACAACACGCCAGGCTGACAGGCTCAGGAATATGGCCATTTCAAGCAGCGGCTTTTATATCCAAGATGGCGTCGGGCGCCATTTTTAATTTTTACAAATTTATTTAGATTTTAGGGTTCTCTTTGAATTGTGGGATATCTGTGGGGTCTGTGAACGAAAGCGGAGGCCATTTTGGAAGAGTGAAAATGGATCTTTCTGTAGCGATGTTTTTGAGAAGAATATGGTAAGTACAAGGCGCAGAATTTTGCTTTTTCATCGTGCAATGTGGCATAACCCTTGGGATGATGTACTGAGGCAAAGAAAGAGATTACAACATTTCTAGAGGCTATTTTAAAATTTTAAAACGATGGGTTCCTGTGATAGACATTGTATTTGCATATTGTGTTTGCTGAATGTAGATTCATTGTTTTCAGCTTCTGTAAATTGGTACCGCGCGAGCTGAAAGCTGGAATCTGGCCCTGTTGACCAGTGTTGAAGCAGAACCAGGTTCATCCCTAGCTGGATTAGTACAACTGGGAGAGAGCGTTGCTCGTTGCTTTTGAAAATGCCAAGGAAGGGTAGGAAGAGAGCAAGAAGCTCCAAGACAATAGCAAAGGAAAAGTTTCCAATCAGGGAACTTGCCCGTAGGCAGAAAGTACTCAAAGAGGAATTTATTTCAAACTGCAAAGTCTACTTGACAGAAAGTTCAAAGCTGAAAAAGCTGAAAAGAAAGGCAAGGAAAAGTAAATTTGCTCATATGTATTATGGTGATAAATAACGACTGATTTTTGCGCATTTGTTTGATAAATGGTGACGGTGTTGATTTAATTTATATAGGTGTTTATTATTTTTTACTGAAGATATTAAATTGGGAACTGTAAAAATAAACAACAAAAGTTGTGATCCAAAATGTGCCTCAGCTTTACTGAATTCAGTATCTTTTGTGTTTTTTTCTCAAGATGCAAATTGTTTAAATTTCAGCACAGTCTCATACATTGATGCATGAATTTTCTGACTCAAGTTCTTTTCAGGATTTTGCTATTCTATTTATCTTACAGTAGAAAATCTAGGACTGTGGATTAATTTTAACTATCCGGCAAATCTTTCATAGGTTGAAAGAATCCAGAATGATGTGGAGTTAGTAAAAAAAAGAGTAATCGAGACTGACATCGTAAGAAAAAGAAAACTTCTGAAAAGTTGAAGGTTTCCAACCTCCATATCAGAAGCCAGCTCCGAAGAATATGCAGTTCCTTTTGCAAAAAGGACTTGTCAAAGGCGTACAAGGGAGACCATCGATGCCTGTAATAAAATCCATGATGGTACCAGGAAGAATAAAAGTCCAAGACTGGATGCTTTGTGGTTGACTTTAGTTAAGGAAGCCACACCGTTTCAGTTGGGAAAATACTTTTCCTTATCTAAGAAAGTAATGAAGAAAGTTTTACCTAAGGTAGTAAAAGAAAGTATTCCAACTTTTGAGAATAGCTTTGACAATAAAATTAGAAGCTAAAGAGTATTGTACAGCAAGGGGTTGGTGATAAGTTAATAAAGATGCTGAATTGTTGAGTAAGGAGAAATATAAAAGTATTAGGCTCAATCTTTCCATGAATACTCGCAAAAGTGGCAAGAAACTGGAAAGCTTAAAGTTCATGTCAAGTGTTCGCTTGCCAAAGATCTTGCCCTATGAGAAATTGATAACTTTTGTCAAAAGCATTGATGTTGGAAATGTTAATGATTTCAAAGATTTTTGCTATGATTTAGATGCAGATGAAGTTGTGGAAGGGTCATATAGAGAGCTACAACCATTTCTGTTGCAGCTTGCTGATATGTATGTTTGCTTAGATAAGACCAGTCCATCCCAGTGTCATTTTGGATCTGAACTGTATCTCTTAAGAGTAGCTCTAGGTGCTGATGGGGCCCCCTTCGGCAAAGACGATGAAGCCACTTCTTCGCTTGTATCATTCCTCAATGAAGGTCAGCAAATTGCAAGTGAAACTGACAACTTTATTCTTGCAGGAGCAAATTGTAGTGAATCTCACCTCTCGATGCAGCGCTATGCACGAAAGCTTGTTTCAGATGTGGGTGACATAGAGGGTAAGACTTTTTACCTGCCAGTTAGCGAAGCTTCAGCTAAGTTTACTTTCGAGTTAATCCCCTCTGACATGAAGTGGGCCTCCACATTTAGTGGAGAACTAGCAAACTCAGCATTTTACTTTTCTCCATTTGGCAATGTTAACAATGACAACAAGTCCATACTTAATGCCAGTTTGGGTCAATCTGAACAATGCCTATGGAAGCCATGGGTGTATGAAGAAAGGCTTCAGGTAGCAACAAAGGTTGAAGCAAAAAGGAAAGAGTTGGGTCAAACAAGACTTGCCGAGTCTACAAAAAGAACTAAGTTGTTGGATTATATAAGAAGTCTAAAGTCCCAGCAAGAAACTACTCCCCTTTTGGGTCCCCTGGTTGACAAGATTTTTGCNGGATTTTGGGCATAGTTTGAAAAGTTCCCTGAGAAGATGATGTTCACCCAAGATTTATTCAATAATCTAATGCCATGGTACAATGATTTATGTCAGAGGGGATTTGATAGTGTCATGTCAAGTCAGCTGTTCTCAAAGTTCATTGCGCTTTATGACAAGAAATATAGTGAAAGTCAGTCTTGAACCTGTTGACCCCAATACTGAACGAAACTTGCTTTCTTTTGCTTAAGAAAATTCTTGTTAAGTATGTAAACTGAAACACAAGAACCATTCAAATTTTAGATAAACATCTGAACGTGTACATGTCATTGTAATCATTACATTTGCTCACAAACTTGACTGAGAGAGCGTATATGAAGTTGCCAAACATCATGCTTATTGCAGCAATCCTTCCCTAAGAGGAGTAATATTGTATTCACATCATCATTTTCTTTACTCTCACTATTTTTGTTTTCCCTTTCTATTCATATTGACGCTACCATAACATTATATTACCTTACCATTTAATTTTTTCCTATAGAAATTGTAATGTGTATGCATATGTGTAGTTATGTTTACACAACATTTGTATATCCTGTTAATTTACTCTATGTAGACATTCAATGTATTTACTTGCAGTTTTTCTCTCTGTTTTCGTTTTTCCTTTCCTGTTTTGTTGTTACTGAAAACATGTCATAACTCAATAAAAAACAATAAAAAACTACTGGACATGCCATTTCTGTGAGAGCATTTAGTGGAATCTATGTTGCTTGTGAGCACTTCGCTTTGATCTTTGACTCTTCTTACCCAAGATGATGGTGTTCCTGGATCCAAATTTGAACGCAAATCAGAGGTTTAAAATTAAGCAGAAAACATGATGAACTTATAAAACTTGTTACCGATTGCATAAATTCTGGAAATTAACAGACTAAAGATCCTGGTGTCAATGAGGGAAAATGGTTTGCTGCAAAGGCCATCAAGGAAGATTGTGAGCTTTGACAAAATTGCAATGCCGTCTCAGTTGCAGAGATTCCATCACCAGGCTGACAAGAGTTTCCTTCACACAACATACTGAATCTCTTCAACTACAGAGACATCCATTAGTGTGCCCTAAAATCAATCCAGAATGTTAATGTCACCAAGGAAAACTATGAAGGACTTGGATATGTGACAGATAAACCGTTCAAACACGAAACAAGGTACATCAATTTGGTATTTGTTCACGACATAATGGACGCGTTGACTGCCAAACATCATTTAGTGAGAGCTCACAATTGACCATCAATGAAAACTGAGCTTCTTCATGTTGTTGCATTATCTGCTAGCAGCAGTGCTGTGATTCATGCTTCCTATGAACCATGTAGGACTTCCTCTTTGGGTCATTGCAGTCATGTGTCCGTTTTGTCTACCATCCCAACCATGTGTAAAATCATGGTTCTGTGGTATCTTTACCATGCACAAGTCAAGATTGTTCTTGGAACGGGGAATAAAAGAGACAAAAATCCTTGGATGTTATCTGATGCTAACTATGCTTCAAAAACTAAAAATGCTGGTTTGCCAGGGATTGACTATGACCCAAGACCAGTGAAATACCGTCTAGTAACACCTGATCATATCAACCACTTTGCTACAAACTTGCAGATAATATTGCAAAACACAAATGGAGCTATACCAATGTGGGAAACTCAACTGCAGACTATCTACAAACACTACAACCTGACATGTGACCAGAGCAGATTGTTTTTGCAGCAAGTAACTATCTTGCTCACAAACCTTAAACTGGAGACTCTCAGGGAAATGCAAGGTACCAGCAGCAGAGTTTGTCACAGGAGTGGTTTTGTGAAAGGTAATTAAAAATAACTGCTTCCAAGTGCCTTCCTGCTTTCAAAGTTGGAAAGCTTGTCATGGACTCTGCCAAATGCAGCTGTGGAAGCATTTAAATTTATTTCAGAGCATTTGAGCTACCCTCTGAAAAATATCAGTTGTGCGACACTCCAATAAGATCCTTACACCACAAGCTGTGCAACCACCCAGAGTTATTAGCAGAATACAACATCATCATTCAGGACCAGTTAAAAAAGAAGAAAGGAACAAAAAGGGGGAAAAAAGAAAAGTTGGCTCATCATGCAGCTTTTAAAAGGATTGGGGAAACTAAGTAAGTAAAATTACATATGAAGGATTAGTGAAATCTGGTAAACATGAGCATTCACTGAAAGATTGTCTAAAAACTGGCTGGCCAAAATTATGTCCTACACCTTTTCAACATCAGGGCAAACTTTAGAAACAACAGTTGGTCTTACAGCTGATATTGAAAAGGCCTTCTTCACGGTGGGAATTCAAGCTGATCATCTGCTACCTTCAATTCTTTTTTTTTGAAAACCCAAATTGCGAGAGGCCACAGAGTGCCCAGGTTCACGTAAGTTGTATTTTGGGTTACGCTCCTCACCTCCAATTTTGGGAGGCACAATTTTACATCACTTGATTGGGTAGTTAGATGAAGAAAGAGCCCTTGCAGTTTACAAGAGATGCAAGGAAATGAATGACAGAAGAGTCTCAGACTCATTAATAATTCATAAAGTTTGGACAACGACATCATGACCATGACAGTATTTGGCTATCTGATCTTCATTAGCATAGATTTTTACCCTATTAATTCTCCATTTTCTCCTTAATTTAGTTCTGATTAAAAAGATATATCATACACTCAGACAGTGTTTGACCACATTTCCAAACACCTCAAAGTTCATCAAAAATTCTCTACTACATATTTTCAACTCTATTCTCTGTGATTGGAAATGTGGTCAAACAAACTCTTTCTTGTTTGATATAATTATTACTTCGATCATTAGTCATAAAAGTCATTAGGTTCTGCATTGTCTCCATAACAAACACCTTGTATTGGTTTGGGAATTTGCCACTGGAAACTTCAGAAATTTTCAATTTTCATTCTTCAAGATCCTCAAACTGAAGTCAGGTTATACCCATAACTATATTCCTTGACAATAGTCAAGGTGGGGAAGCTGATCAAATCCCTACCAAACCTAACAGCTGTAGCTTTCCATCTAGGCAGCCTCTTCCAAGTTCAGCTTTCAATCACTGCATTAAGGAGGTGCAACTATGGCAGCAAACATTCAGCCAGCGACAGGGTGTTTCAACGGCATGGTCACTGGAAGTCAGTGCAAGCCAAAGACAGTTATGACGATGACGACCTGGCTCAAAGGCTTGTAGCCTCTCAATTTCTTGACCTATGAGGGGCCATCAATCACACCTTTTCTAATTTGGTGCTAATTTTGTGTCATTTTAAGTTGTGGAAACAAAATATTTTTACAAGTGAATATATGAAAGATCATATTTTTGAACTGCAGGGAAAGATATCAAGACATGTTTCATCATCGCAGTTATAAACACAACTAAAGCAGTTGTGAAATTGAAGCCTGAAAACATTTCAGGCTTAAAGAGGATTTGAGCCCAGGATCTCTGTCATGTCAGTGCAGAGCTCTACCAACTGAAATATCAAGCCAACTGGGAGCTGACCATGTTGTAAGCTTGTAATATACCCGTAGATGGTAAAGAATGCAAGTGAATATATGAAAGATCATATATTTGAACTTCCGAGAAAGATATGAAGACATGATTGATCATCACAGTTATATACACAACTTAGGCAGTTGTGAAATTAAAACCTTCACTTGTATTCTTTACTGGGTTTATCCAGTCGCATTAGTCAGACAATTTGATACGATACTGTCCAAACCTCAACCATTTGCTAACTTAGTAAGCATTTGAGTCTCCGACAATCTTCCTTTCATGTACATTGAAGTTGATTTTGCTGGACCATTTTATGCGAAGGAAAACATCAACAACACGCCAGGCTGACAGGCTCAGGAATATGGCCATTTCAAGCAGCGGCTTTTATATCCAAGATGGCGTCGGGCGCCATTTTTAATTTTTACAAATTTATTTAGATTTTAGGGTTCTCTTTGAATTGTGGGATATCTGTGGGGTCTGTGAACGAAAGCGGAGGCCATTTTGGAAGAGTGAAAATGGATCTTTCTGTAGCGATGTTTTTGAGAAGAATATGGTAAGTACAAGGCGCAGAATTTTGCTTTTTCATCGTGCAATGTGGCATAACCCTTGGGATGATGTACTGAGGCAAAGAAAGAGATTACAACATTTCTAGAGGCTATTTTAAAATTTTAAAACGATGGGTTCCTGTGATAGACATTGTATTTGCATATTGTGTTTGCTGAATGTAGATTCATTGTTTTCAGCTTCTGTAAATTGGTACCGCGCGAGCTGAAAGCTGGAATCTGGCCCTGTTGACCAGTGTTGAAGCAGAACCAGGTTCATCCCTAGCTGGATTAGTACAACTGGGAGAGAGCGTTGCTCGTTGCTTTTGAAAATGCCAAGGAAGGGTAGGAAGAGAGCAAGAAGCTCCAAGACAATAGCAAAGGAAAAGTTTCCAATCAGGGAACTTGCCCGTAGGCAGAAAGTACTCAAAGAGGAATTTATTTCAAACTGCAAAGTCTACTTGACAGAAAGTTCAAAGCTGAAAAAGCTGAAAAGAAAGGCAAGGAAAAGTAAATTTGCTCATATGTATTATGGTGATAAATAACGACTGATTTTTGCGCATTTGTTTGATAAATGGTGACGGTGTTGATTTAATTTATATAGGTGTTTATTATTTTTTACTGAAGATATTAAATTGGGAACTGTAAAAATAAACAACAAAAGTTGTGATCCAAAATGTGCCTCAGCTTTACTGAATTCAGTATCTTTTGTGTTTTTTTCTCAAGATGCAAATTGTTTAAATTTCAGCACAGTCTCATACATTGATGCATGAATTTTCTGACTCAAGTTCTTTTCAGGATTTTGCTATTCTATTTATCTTACAGTAGAAAATCTAGGACTGTGGATTAATTTTAACTATCCGGCAAATCTTTCATAGGTTGAAAGAATCCAGAATGATGTGGAGTTAGTAAAAAAAAGAGTAATCGAGACTGACATCGTAAGAAAAAGAAAACTTCTGAAAAGTTGAAGGTTTCCAACCTCCATATCAGAAGCCAGCTCCGAAGAATATGCAGTTCCTTTTGCAAAAAGGACTTGTCAAAGGCGTACAAGGGAGACCATCGATGCCTGTAATAAAATCCATGATGGTACCAGGAAGAATAAAAGTCCAAGACTGGATGCTTTGTGGTTGACTTTAGTTAAGGAAGCCACACCGTTTCAGTTGGGAAAATACTTTTCCTTATCTAAGAAAGTAATGAAGAAAGTTTTACCTAAGGTAGTAAAAGAAAGTATTCCAACTTTTGAGAATAGCTTTGACAATAAAATTAGAAGCTAAAGAGTATTGTACAGCAAGGGGTTGGTGATAAGTTAATAAAGATGCTGAATTGTTGAGTAAGGAGAAATATAAAAGTATTAGGCTCAATCTTTCCATGAATACTCGCAAAAGTGGCAAGAAACTGGAAAGCTTAAAGTTCATGTCAAGTGTTCGCTTGCCAAAGATCTTGCCCTATGAGAAATTGATAACTTTTGTCAAAAGCATTGATGTTGGAAATGTTAATGATTTCAAAGATTTTTGCTATGATTTAGATGCAGATGAAGTTGTGGAAGGGTCATATAGAGAGCTACAACCATTTCTGTTGCAGCTTGCTGATATGTATGTTTGCTTAGATAAGACCAGTCCATCCCAGTGTCATTTTGGATCTGAACTGTATCTCTTAAGAGTAGCTCTAGGTGCTGATGGGGCCCCCTTCGGCAAAGACGATGAAGCCACTTCTTCGCTTGTATCATTCCTCAATGAAGGTCAGCAAATTGCAAGTGAAACTGACAACTTTATTCTTGCAGGAGCAAATTGTAGTGAATCTCACCTCTCGATGCAGCGCTATGCACGAAAGCTTGTTTCAGATGTGGGTGACATAGAGGGTAAGACTTTTTACCTGCCAGTTAGCGAAGCTTCAGCTAAGTTTACTTTCGAGTTAATCCCCTCTGACATGAAGTGGGCCTCCACATTTAGTGGAGAACTAGCAAACTCAGCATTTTACTTTTCTCCATTTGGCAATGTTAACAATGACAACAAGTCCATACTTAATGCCAGTTTGGGTCAATCTGAACAATGCCTATGGAAGCCATGGGTGTATGAAGAAAGGCTTCAGGTAGCAACAAAGGTTGAAGCAAAAAGGAAAGAGTTGGGTCAAACAAGACTTGCCGAGTCTACAAAAAGAACTAAGTTGTTGGATTATATAAGAAGTCTAAAGTCCCAGCAAGAAACTACTCCCCTTTTGGGTCCCCTGGTTGACAAGATTTTTGCTGAGCCTCTGCATAATTCAAATAATGCATGTCAGCAATTACATGAGCTTATGCTTGTCCATGCCAACGACAAAAGTAAGCTCGCACCCAATTGTACTAATCCAGTTAGGGATGTACCCGGAAGTGCTTTGGCCTCCCATCTTACCACTTTGAAAGAAATTGGGGCTAGTAGATTGTATAAGAAGGTAAAAAAGTGGTGCTCCCAGGACAGAAGGGATCTCTTTCCTATCGATTCACAGGGAAAGAGACAAAAAAGTTCTGCCCCAATTTTATGTCTATTCTAAAGGCAATTTCGCGTGAGGACGACAGTCCTCAGCAACAGCTCCAAATTTGCATGCTCGCATTCATTGGCCTTCAGCTAAGAGATGCTATCAGCCGGTTTAGCTGTGTCACAATAACTGAGGGTGTCTTGCAGGAAATCAAAGACTCTTGCAAGCAAGAATTCAAAGCCTGCTCTCTCCTGTTAGACTCCGTAACACCAACAATTTGGACAATTGGTCATGCAATCCCTTATCACACAGGCCTCCTGTATATGAAACTTGGCTTAGGGTTAGGCATTAATACTATGCAAGGGAGGGAGGCTAAACACGTGCGCATCAGCCAGTATGCAAAGCATGCAACCTTGTCAACAAGGTGGAACCTTGTTTTTAGACATGATTTCATTACAACTGCTTGGTTAAGGCAATATGACCCTGCAAGTTTTCACTACCACAAGAGCACAGATGTGTATGTTCCTAAAAAGATTGAGCAACCAAATGTTTGCTACTGTGGCTTAGACAAGGAATGCAGTGCTGAAAAATGTTCACTGTGTTCATCTGAGATTTACAAGAGTGTAGAAAGGAGTGCTGAAACAGGGGCTTTAGACCCATATATTTACAATCTTCTTAGTGTCACAAGCTGGACAGAAAGGTACAATGACAAACCCAACAACAGTTTGGGACATTTACAGTCAAACACCTAACCAAGGCCACCAACCAAAAGTCTTTACAAACTTCCTGACCATAAAAT